TCCCATGTCCTGCTCAGAAACAGAACCTCAGCAGAGTAGGAGCTGCCTGAGACAGAGGACATTGTACCTTTCCTTACCCTCTTTAGCGCTCTGGAGATTTTTTTGTCCTGCTTTGTAGATGTTGCTGCCCAACTGTGGCCAGAGCATGGTCTCTTGCAGTTTGCTGAATACAGAGTCTTGTGCCCTCTGGATATGCCTTCCTCATTGTTCTCCCACTCTAAGGTCCCATTGCCTCTGCTCAGGAGATGGGGTCTAGTTCTCTGGTTTGAACCAGGAAGAAGGGGAACTAGATAAAAGCCCTGCTTCTCTCCCCAGGGAATAGAGAACTCATTTTAGGACCTAGGCAGGGGGACCAGGAGGCCCCTAAAAGTTTTTTTTCCCCTCCTTCTTTCCAGTCCTGTGCTGCCCTGGGATTTACTCCATGGGCTTGCTGACTGAAGTCCTCCTCATTCTTGGAATCCTCTTTCGCCACTCTGTCTGGGTCTCCCCATTGGACTTTTTGGCGTTGGAGTTGCAGCTTTTTGGGGCAGTAAGAGACGCAGCATGCCTTTCTGATTAATAACCCTGTGCTCTAGCAGTACAACAGTAGGCTAGCTGAGAACAGGCAGGGCACAATTTGCCCTCCAGAGAGCCTGCAAAAGCTGTCTCAGATAGAACACTGCTTGAATTTAGCTTGGTGATGATGCAGCTGCTCTGCCATACCTTGGGGGGGAGGGGGCAACGGGAGGGAGCGGAGAAGAGGGACAGGAGTCTTGCAGGGAGTGCTGCAGTGCTGGCTCCGCATGGCTGGGACCATAACACTGCTCAAGACCCAATCCAGGGGAGGAAGAGAATGACAACAAAGGACAGCTGCTTACTACTGCCCCTCACCCTCAACTAAAAAAAAAAATAAAGCCTGGCAAAGAAGAGTCAGGAGCAAAGCAATTAGCCATGTGACTAATGCAATAAAGCAAAAAGATCTGGCGGCTACCCAGAGAAGGGGACATGTTAGAACAGTGCTGTGCTACCACTTTGAACTGCCTCCGCAAACTGCAGACGTGAGAGGAATAGCCCATACATATTAGTATCGTGGGAGACGCTTGACGGTTGAACAACAATTTCAGTTTTACCTCTACATTTGGGTTCTCATAACAAGAAGTTATTTAGTCTAGAATGAACTATTGGATTGACTGTGTCCAACAATACACAGCAGTACCTCACTGGTTGAGATTTGCTATCTAACATCTCCCCCAATAACGGTATTACAAGCTCCATTAGATAAATTTCAAATGCTTCTAACTCTATAAAACTCAAATTTACAAGGAAGGGAAATAATCCAGACCAACAGATTTTCTGTTATGAGCAGATAAATTACAGGTAAGAAAAAGTCTCACCATCTGTCAGTCTGGAACAGATTGTTTAGAATTAGCAAGCAGTCCAAACCCAGATTCTCCACCGCTCTGACTCTTCAGAGTCAATACACAGAAGAACCAAAAGAACATTTGGCAAGGAACAGGCAGACAAAAGGACACTGAGCTGCCTTCCTAGAGTCAGGACACAAGATGTCACTCTAAGACTGGATAGACTTCTGAAATCTATGGGCAAGGATACATTGGTAATGGTTCATATTGGCACTACTGACACTGCGTTGTGAGATCTCTCGCAGATAGCGGATTACTTCAGGGAACTTGGAAATGTGCTGAAGAACAAAAATATCCAAGCAAATCTTCTCTGAAATCCTTCCTGTCTCACAAAGAAAGACAGGAGGCAGAAGATTCTGGGAGTGAATTGCTGGCTAGGTAAGTGGCATTGGGGGTTGGTTCTGTGGAAGATTTGTCCACCTTCTAAGCTATAGGAAGAGGGAGCTACATAGTTTACATGGTCTTCACCACAGTAGAGGGTAGACTAATCTCTGACTACTCTAGGCTGGCTAGAGTAGTCAAGAGGGGTTAAACTAATAACAAAAGGGGAGGATAAAAAGAAGGAGAGATAAGCAATCAGCACAAAAATCAGGATGTTGATTAATCACGGAACATGAGCATGAAGACAAGAAATTACTGAATTGCCTACACACTAATACTGAAAGACATGGTAACAAAAATAATTGGAATTGCTAATTTAGGAGCATAAATTCAATCTAGTTGGTATTACTGAAACCTGGTGGGTTTATTTGCACACCTGGAATCTTAAAATCAATGGTCATAACCTATTTAGGAAGGAGTAAATGGGCAAAAAGGGGAGGGTGAGTAGGACTCTACAGCAAAAATGGCATTTTTTCCAAGTCATGGACAACTCAGAAGAAAATGGTCTTGAATACTTATAGATCAATGCCCTAACAGATAAAGCACAAGATGGGGTAGTAGTTGGTGTGTGCTACAGACTACCAAATCATGACACAGAACAGGATGACTTCCTTAGGTGCCTCTCTACAATGTGTAGGAAAAAACTCTGATCACAGGTGTCTTCAATATGAATGATATGCTGGAGGTCTCATGCTGCCTGTACTAAAATATACTTAGAATTTCTAAACGTATAGATGACAATTTCCTAACTCAAAAAGTGCTGTAGCCACCACAGTGGAATTCTATATTAGACCTTGTTCTACAGATCAAGTGGAACTGATGACAGAACTAAAAGTTAATGGTAACTTAGGTACAAGTAATCATGGCTTGATGACATTTATAATGTACAAACAGAAAAAAAGTCTAGACCGGTAACATACATTATTTGATAGACAAACAAACAGAGCTTTAGTAGGACCAATTTCAGAAAGATGAAAACAATTGTGAGCCAAACCAGCTGGGAGGAAGAATTTAATCAGAAGAGTGTGAATGAGAATTGGAAATTATTTACGAATACCTTACTAAATGCCCCAAAAGCAACAATCCTGCAACTGAGGAAGAAGGCTGTGCTAGTTAAAAAACAACTTTGTTTAGAGGGTAAGTGAAGGCATCTGTAAAAAATAAAAAATAATATATAACAAATGGAAGAAAGGGGAACTTGATAGCAATGATTATAAATGAGAAGTTAGTAACTGTACATAATTGATAAAGAAAGCCAAGGGACACAAGGAGAAATCTAGGGCCAATGAAATTAAGGACAATAAGGAGTTGTTTTTTTCCTAACTATACTAGGAACAAAAAGAATCCTGAAAATGGTACTGGTCCACTGCTAGATGCAAATGGTAGAATTATCTGTTACAATGCACAAAAGGCAAAGGTGTTCGACAAATATATTTGTATTTGGGTAAAAAACCCCACATAATGAAGACTCACCACATGGTGATAATACTCCATTCCACTAGTATCTCTGGAGAATATTAGTTACCAAACTGAGACATTTTTAATCAGCAAGTCAAGATAACCTGCATCCAAGAATTTTTTAAAAAGCTGGCTGAGGAGCTCACTGTACCATCAATGCTGATTTCAAAAAAATCTTGGACCATGAAGTTCCAGAAGACTGGAAGGAAGTGAACATGCCAATTTAAAAAAGGGTAAACTGGAAGGCCCAGGTAGTTATAAGCCTGTCAGCCTGACATCAATCCCAGGCAAGATAATCGAACCAGCTGATATGGTACTTGATAACCATAAGAGTTATGACACACAGCACAGTAGATTCAAAGCCTCACCTATAGCTATTCAGACCAAAGATTTTTCATATGTTTAGTAAGGAAAACCCACATTGTGTCTCCCCCTGTCCCCCCGCCCCTCCCCGCAAAAAAAATTGGCTTGATGATTAACTAATGGAGGGTAATGTAAATAAACCCAAAATATGGATGTTTTTCTAAAATAATATGCTCTAGGAATTACTTTGGGGAAGTCCTATGGCCTGTGTTATACAGGCAGTCAGACTAGATGATCACAATGGTAACTTCTAACCTTAGAATTTATGAAATCAAGACTAGATTTTTTTTTCTAAAAGGCAGCTCTAGTTCAATACAAATTTTTGGACTTGATTTAAGAATTAGAGAGCGAAGTTCAGTATCGTGCAAGAAATCAGACTAGATCAGTGATTCTCAAACTATGGGACGAACCTCACAAGGGAGGCATGGGAATGCATCAAGGGAAGTGCGAGCTGTGTGCCATTATTTAAGAACTCTGGCTGTCAGTCCCAGGGGCTGGGACATGTGCAGAAGGCCATGCACACCCAGGAGATGGGGATATAGGTAACAGCCAGAGGCCTTCCAAACTACTCACCTGGAAGCAGCAGGGGTCTAGCTATCAGCCCCGTGGTGGCAGCAGTAGTGTAGAAGTAAGGGTGGCAATGGAGTGCTAAATCCGCTGTGAAAAGTGATATTGACAAATATCACTTTTCATATTGTTGCCCTTACTTCTGTGCTGCTGCTGGTACAGCGCTGCCTTCAGAGCTGGGAGCCCAGACAACAGCCGCTGCTCTTCACTCTGCCTTCAGAGCTGGGTGGTGGTATATGTACTCAGGGGGGAGGAGGGACGGCGGTGCGCAAACTACAGACACAAAGAAGGGGGGGGCCAATCAAATATATTTGAGAAACACCAACCTAGATAATCATCCTGGTCCTTCTGGCTTTAAATCTATGAATTCTCTAACTCCAAAAATACAAATGCCCACAGCAGCTGGCACCACTTACTTTGATGAGTATGATGGACCCTGCCTTGGAAACAGTGTCATGCAAAGTGAGGTGGTCAGCATCCTAATGCCAGAGCAACAGACATAGGTGGACAGAGGTCCTTACTCCACTCTTCCTATTTTTGTTACATTGTATATAAAAATAGAAATTGAAAACTGTTTATGGTAGGGACCATGTCTTATTCAGTTTCTCTGGAGCACACAGCACCACATTTGGGTGCTACAGAAATAATGCAATGAGCAGCCAAACATATTTAAGGCTATGACTACTCCTTAGTTCAAGAAGAGCACCCGTCACCATTAATCAGACTTGTTTTTTAAAAAAAGTTTAGAGATAATTAAAATAAAACTAATCTACTGTCCCAATGAAGCAACTATTCTGCCCCCCAACCCCAAAATACGTAGCCACTGTTTACTTTATTATTTCTTCTCTGTTTCCATGATGATCTCTTTCTGAATTGATCTTGTCTCTTAAGCGATTCATTTCTGTGTCAAGACTCTTGACAGTTCTGTTGACTTCTATCCGTTGCGGGCAGATTTGTGTGGCCTGTGCAATCTTTTCCTAAAGAGAAGTTTGAAATGCTAAAAAACGCTATACAAATAAACCATAATGTATCTTCCTCTAAATAGTTAATATTTTGTATGGTGAAAAGCAGTAAGAGAGAAATTCTGAGTTCATTACTAATGGGCTCTCCCCACCTGTGGAATTCAGAGACAGTCCGGTGTTGTAGCTGGAGGCTCCAGGACTAAGCTTTGTCTTTCATCTCAGGCCACCCAAAAAAATTTCCACAGCTGTATAAACACTCCAGCAACCAATTATTAGTATAAAGGCAACCTGTCAATTGTCAATGTCTAAGTCTCCCTTCAGAGAAAAATTTCAATTTATATTCTGATCATTTACCAGACTACCAGGGTGGATGGAATACAGAGAGAAGCTGCTAAAAAGAAAGAAAATTATCAGGTAAGAAACTGATCATTCAGTTGCAAAGCTTCTCTGCTCTTTAATTATTCATGGGAAGTAATAAGCAGTGTATCCCAGAGGTAGGGAGGGAAAGAATAAGTTGAATTATTATAGCAGAATAATTTAGATGGAAGTTCCCCCCATTTTTACCTTCTCCTTGCAACAAACTTGAAACTGTGAGGCCTTGGCATTTTTGACAGAATGAGATGAAAAGGTACATATGTACTTCAGATGTTTGAGAGAGATCTTTCGTACTCGAGGAATGCCCATTTATGACACACCTTCCACAGGTTAGAACAAAATGGTGGGAGAACTATTTTCCAGAAATTGTGGAAAAGGGAACTTATCTTGAACTGAAAGGTTTTTGGACCTATAAGCATAATCTTTCTCATGACAAAGGCAGTGTGGTTTTTGTATGAACATGGGAACTAATTCCAAAACTTGCCTTTCACAGGTAGTATGACTAGCAAGGCCAACCGCAAACTTGTCTAATTTGTCACTGTGATTAAAAATGGTACCTGATACTCCAAGTACTTGATGACAAAACATTATGGCTGGTACCCACATTTTTATCATGCTTGGTTGTAGGACTCCAACCAAGCCGCCTGAAGAAACTCTAGTGTACCTGAAATCACATCAGAACTTTGGGATTATTATTGCATTTCTATGACATCATCATCTAGAGGTCAGGGACGCAGTGTGCTGGGGACTGCACAAAAAGGCAGTCTTTGCCCCAAGGAGTTTTTCGTTTCCCCTCACACCAGGAAAGTAAATTCGACTAAACCAATGATGATACACCCTGACTGAGTTTTGTTGGGAAATCAACTTTACTGGAGGTTAATGCTAAACTACACTTCTCTTCTCATGCCCAATTTGTTATCTGTAGATGTTCCCAGTCTGACTGAAGGAGTCCCTGCTTCAAGAAGTCTGGTGTTCTGTGTAAGTATAATGTGGGGTCTTTGGCTACCTAGCAAGTCCAAAGTGCCTTCTGTAGGAGGACCACTACAACCCTCTCTCTTTCTCTTTTCTGTACCCTTTATGTAAACTATCTTGAAAAGTAGCAAATTCTTCTCTACTCAGGACATTATTTCCATCATCAAGGAAAAGCTTTTGACTGCTGTTTATTTCCTGATTTGGAAAAGGATATAAACACATGTCTCAATCGTAAGCCAACCTCTTATGGTGTATGGGGTCTTTTTGGAAGGAAGTCCCCTTATGAAGGTTTGACTGTCTTTCACTGGTGGAGCTACTACTGCATCAACTGTAGGTTCCCAAATAAGGCTGTCAAGAGATTAAAAAAATTAATCGTGAGATTAATCGCACTGCTGAACAATAATAGAATACCATTTATTTAAATATTTTTTGGATTTTTTTTACATTTTCAAATATATTGATTTCAATTACAACATAGAATACAAAGTGCACAGTGCTCACTTCATATTTATTTTTGATTACAAGTATTTGCACTGTAAAAAAAAAATAGTATTTTTCAATTCACCTAATACAAGTATTATAGTGCAATCTTTTTACCATGAAAGTTGAACTTACAAATGTAGAATTATGTACCAAAAAAACTGTGTTCAAAAATAAAACAATATAAAATTTTAGAACCTGCAAGCACACTGTCATACTTCAGCCAGTCGCTCAGACAAACAAGTTTGATTACTATTTGCAGGAGATAATGCTGCCCACTTTTTGTTTACAATGTCACCTGAAAGTGAAAACAGGCGTTCACGTGGCACTGTTGTAGCCAGCGTTGCAAGATATTTACATGCCAGATGTGCTAATGATTCATATGTCCCTTCATGCTTCAACCACCATTCCAGAGGACATGCATCTGTGCTGATGACAGGTTCTGCTCAATAACAATCCAAAGCGGAGTGGATCAATGCAGGTTCATTTTCATCATCTGAGTCAAATGCCACCAGCAGAAAGCTGATTTTCTATTTTGGTGGTTCGGGTTCTGTAGTTTCCGGTATCTGAGTGTTGCTCTTTTAAGTTTTCTGAAAGCATGCTCCACACCTCATCCCTCTCAGATTTTGGACAGCATTTCAGATTCTTAAACTTTGGGTCGAGTGCTGCAGCTATTTTTAGAAATCTCACATTAGAACCTTCTTTGCGTTTGTCAAATCTGCTGTGAAACTGTTCTTAAAATGAACATGTGCTGGGTCATCATCCGAGACTGCTATGACATGACATTTATGACAGAATGCAGGTAAAACTGAACAGGAGACATATAATTCTCCCCCAAGGAGGTCAGTCACAAATATAAATAACGCATCGTCAACATGGAAGCATGTCCTCTGGAATGGTGGCCGAAGAATGAAGGGGCATATGAATGTTTAGCATATCTGACATGTAAATACCTTGCAACACCAGCTACAAAAGTACCATGCGAACACCTGTTCTCAATTTCAGTTGACATTATAAACAAGAAGCGGGAAGCGTTATCTCCTGCAAATTTTACCCAAACTTGTTTGTCTGAGCAATTGGCTAAAGTAGGATTGAGTGGACTTATGGGCTCTAAAATTCTACATTGTTTATTTTTGAATGCAGGGTTTTATTGTACATAACTCTACATTTTTGAGTTCAACTTCCATGAAAAAGAAATTGCACAGTACTTGTATTGGATGAATTGAAAAATACTATTTCTTTTTTTTTTTTTACAGTGCAAATATTTGTAATTAAAAATAAATATAAAGTGAGCACTGTATACTTTGTATTCTGTGTTGTAATTGAAATCAATATATTTGAAAATGTAGAAAACATCCAAAAATATTAAATAAATTCAAACTGGTATTCTATTGTTTAACAGTGTGATTAATTTGTTTGAGTTAATCGTGAGAGTTAACTGTGATTGACAACCCTATTCCCAAAATGTATTAAATTTTTATTTTATAGAAGCATTTTAATTTAACGTTTTGCTTAATCAGATATCCCCATTTGAATTTTATGATGCTCTCATCAATGGGAAAACATGTATCTAATTATATTTGAAAGGGAAGATATTGTATAAATTAGTTCCTTGTAAGCCATTGATTGGGATCCACTCTTGGAAATGTCTTGCTGGTTGGTTGGTTTTTGTTTTTTGTGTGTGATGTATTTATGGTACCTCTTTCCCTGGCTGTTTAGAGAAGGGAGGTAATACATTATTCATCCTGGCATGGATATCATACAATTCATAGTGGGAGGAAAGGGAGCTGTGTTGGAGCCCTGGTTCTTTCTCCAGGGAACTGAGAACTCACTTTTGTATCTTCGGGGGAGGAAGGGAAGAGACAGAGAAGATGAGGACTCTGGATCCTTTTAGGCTTTTTCCCCTCCAACCCAGGTCTGTTGCAAGAATTTACCCATAGCTGACCAGATAGCTTCCTCCTCATCTTTAGACTCTCTCTCAAAAGCCCAGAATCACTTAATTGGACTTTTCTGTGTTCAGATCACAGCTCCTCAGGCAGGGTGGGGAACTGACATGCTAATCTGACTGAGCCCCTTAATCTAGCAAGGCAAGGGCTGGCTGGCTGGCAACAGGCAGGGCATAATTCACCTTCTGTAGAACCTGTATACACAGCTTCACATATGGAAAACTGCTTAGATTTAAGTTAGGGCTTTATAAGATAGTTCTGCCATGCCTGAGCAGAGACACAGGAGTCTGGTAGGAAGATGCTGCAGTGGCAGATCCATGCAGTTGAAATCAAACACTGCTATTTACCCAATCCAAGAGAAGAGAAGGATGAGAATATTGGAAGTTGCAACTGCATGAAAATGAATAAAAAAAATAAAAGATTTTAAAACAAAATGGTCAGGAAAAACAGAACTGCCAACTTGTTCCAACAACATTTTCTGGACACAGAAAATCTGGTGGTCTGAGCTGAAGGGAAGAGCTCAGTCCTGGAGTCTCCAGCAACAACACTAGACCGCCTCCAAATTCCACAGGAGCAATAGCCTATTAGTAATCTATGAGAGAAGCTGTGCAAAAAGAAATGAAGTCTCTAATGCAAGCGTGTCTCTCGTTTGCACATAGCTCTCAGTACAATGGATCTCCTCTTGGGGCTCTTTGTCATTATTTTAATAGAAATGTGTAGTAGTAATAATTTATTTATTACAATATGAAAAGGGAGTATCTATCTGAAAGCGCCTATATATTGATAGTAATTTATCTATATCTATAATAAACTATATTTTAGATACATGATCTAAATCAGTAGGTTTCTAATATCCTACCTTCTATTCATTTATTAACAAAAAAATGAAGCGGCACTCCTTTAGCCATCTAGTGTTGTTTTAGTCATTTTTCCTTGATGCTTGGAACTTAAAATCAACTTCTAAAGGCAACCTGGTAGCAGTGAAAAGGGGAAATGTGGGATGCAGCATGCACCCCAACTTGTTGATGCTTGACTTCGGCATAAACTTACTGCCCAAGACTAACCAGACCAGATGAGGCATCCAATTCCAAAGCTTATGGCTCCTGGCAAGTTACTGTACAAGGAGGCCCCACCCCTGCAGGCTACCAATAGGACAGGACGCCTTTAGCAATTGTTTGCTGTTCTAAATTATAATAAAGTTACAGCCACTGGTCAAAAATCTAATGCTTGTGTCTGTCCCCCGCCATTTGCTAGATACTTTCCTATAAAGTTTAGAATCTAAATAGCCTTTCTTTTGTCCTTAGTCTTGAATCCTTTCATAGAGCTCTCTTGATGATTACATTTGTGTTTAAATTCCATATTGATGGTTTTATAAAAACTATCATCACCCTGAACAAATGCAATGCTCAGAAAAACTGCTATTTGTTTTCAGATCGGAGACAGTAAGTATACATTTTACTGAATGAAGACATTTTCATCATATATTCCCCACTGGTACAAAAGCAGCACTCTTGGCTTGATAAGCCTGAGTTATCGAATGGAAAAGTTCTTACCAATCATCTCCTTTCTGCTAGCAGTGTCTCCCACAATTCTGTATGTCTGCACTGCTCTCTTCTCTCTGCAGCTCAGTGTTTTGGTGACACACACTCTGGCCATAGCCCATCTGCTCCCGCTTGCTGCCAGATGAGTTATTCCCAAGCTTTACAACTTGCATAATATCGTTAACACATATACCAGAGATAATGAAATAACTATATACATTAGATGAAGGAAGACAGTCATATGGTAACGATTCCACTTAATAGCTGACTCTACTCATTAACAATCCTTGGTGGGTAAAACTGTGGGAGACACTACAGGCTGAAAGAAAAGCGGTAAGAAATTTTCTGCTCTGCAGCCCAATTCTCCCACAATTGTGGATGTCTGGGAAGTAGTCAGCAATGAACAGATATAGGAAGGGTTGTGAAACAAGAAATTTGGTAGGAAAGAAGTACCCTCCTCTATTCATGAGTTTGCTCAAAAGTCTATTATTTTTGGACCATGGCCTGCAGCACCTTCCTACCATAGGTGGTGTCCGCAGAAGGTCCACCTTGTAGTACTTAAGATGTTAGCTGTAGACCAAATAGTCACTTTGAAAATTTCCCAAACTGGATGCATTTGCTTTTTTCCCCACTCATGAGAGTGTGAGCCTTGATCCCTTCTGGGAGAGGAATCTCTGATGATTTATAAGCTTCCACAATAGTCTATCCACCTAATGATGGAGGACTTGGAAGCTCTTAGTCCAAGGTATTTCGAGTGGAAGGAAATTAATTAGGAGCCCAATCTTCTTGTGGATTCTGTATGCTTTCAAAACTTATGACACCTAAGATGCGTCACACCTTTGCAGTTGAACAGAAAGAAGGAAACACAACCTCCTGGGAAGCAAGGAAGGAGGAATTTCTCTTGGGAAGAAAAGATTTTGTCCACGAGGGAGATGCAATAGGGGAGGCTCAGGGAGGGTTAAACCCTGAAGGATTAACTGATCAGGGAAGAGGAGGAATGCCAAGGAGGGAGAATACTGCTCCCTGCCAAAAAATGTGCAGAAAAGTTAAAATAGAAGGAGGGAAGGCAGGAACAAAAGAAACTACTACTGTCTGTGGCCGTGGAGGTATAGAATCTGGCAGCACGCAAGAGCAGAGTAGGCGTGACCAGACCATGTGGCGCCAAAATGCTGAACCTACCTCTATGAGTGGCAGAGAGAGAACAGCCCAGATGTGCAGAATTGTGGGAGACGGTGGGCTGCAGAAAGATTTAAGTTAACTGGTAGGCTTAAAATCACAATAATGTTTCATTAAGACATATATCAAAAGGAAACTACACTCCATACACTTCAAGTTCTTTTTAGCTGACCTAGCAATCAATACTTAAAGACAACTAAAATACCGACAATAGTATGCAGGACAGATTTCTTGAGTACTTGGGGTTAGAGCAAGGGACTATGATACTAATTTTAAAATAACAGAAACTTCACTTAGGAGAGGGAACAGCTGACTATCTAAGTAATAAATGAACCTTGAATACCCAACTTCTGTCCCCTACAAATTGTCAAAAACCCTCATACCTTTAATTCTTTTTCTTTAGCAGCTAGTTCTCCTTTAAGTTTTTTTATGGATGCCAAATGCTCTTTCTGTTTTTCTTCGTAGTGCTGCCAGTGGTGTTTACTCTTTTCCACTTCTAAGTCAGCTTGGTTTAATTCATCCTGTTTGGAGCAAATCAAAATGTCACATTTAATCTGGAGTGGCAGATTTGTGAACACCTGCCAATATTTACTGACTTAAAATGAGGGAGTATGTTCAGTCATTACTGCTCCACTAACACAGTTTATAGATTTTCACATTTTATAATGTCATTCCCTCTTAACTCCAGTGGCGGTAACAGCAATTTATGTGAGCGCACATACTCAATTCTGGCAGAAAGAGTATAGTAAGAGAATGCCTTGTGTTGCTCTTCTGCCATACTGGTAACTTTTAGGGGTGGTATGTGGTCTGTAAATGAGGAGTAGTATTCTTTACTCATTGGGAAGAAGAACTCAGAGACACTGGGCTGAAAAATGGGAAGAGAACAGAGAATCCCATTAAATGAACACTTCTCTTATAAAAAGATATAAAATGTACTGTAAGCATTTACAGGCACACTGTGTACACACACACACCACATCTGCTTTCAAAACTTTGAAAATTCGAAGTCTTTTCCCAGTTACAAAATGGAATATTTTCCCAGTCAGAAAGTGATTGCAAATTGTACCGTATGCTGTTTTCAACTATAAAACATACATAATATAGCAAATGCCATACCCAGATCAGACCAATGATCCAGCCTCCCATCTCTGACAGTGACCAGTACTACATGTTTCAGAAGGATCAACTGTAGTAGACAATTATGGAATAACCTGCCAAAAAGGAAAATCCTCCCTAAACCCTATTAGGTTAGTGGTTGTCTTATGATCTGAACAATGAGGGTTCATATCTTTAGCCTATCTGATATAGCTTTGGATCTTCTCATTCCTATAAATGTTTAATTCTTTCTGGAATCCTACATAAGCTCTTGAGCTTTATTATATAATTTGGCAAAGAGTTCCACAGGTTAATTTTACATGATATGAAAAAATGTGTTTTTTTATGAATTTAAAAAATGTATTCTTTCAGTTCCATTGAACGTTTCCTTGTTCTCATATTATGCAAAAAGGTAAATGGCAGTACTCAGTTTACACTTTCTAAAGCATTCAGTATTTTGTATACCTCCATCATGTTCCCTTTTAGGGTTCTCCTCCAAACAGTCCCAAGTTTTCTTACATTTCCTCATACAGAATTATCGCTCTCTCTTAGGGTATGTATATACTTTAGAACCCATGGCAGTGAATCTCAGAGCCTGGGGGTCTACAGACTTGGGCTCGAGCTACAGCATTAAAAGCAGCTGTGTAGAAGTTTGGGCTCAGGCTCTGAAACCCACCCTCCTCTCCAGGCTTCAGAGCCCAAGCTCCACCCCAATCCCAAAGCCTTACATAGTTGGTTTTAGCACTGTAATGTGAGCCTGAGTCTGTAGGCTTGGGCCTTGAGACTTGCTGCTGTGGGTTTTTAATCTCAGTGTAGACACACCTTGTCTTTTCTCACCTGGCTGAGACCCTTCCATTCTGTTGCACACCTTCTCTCCTCATTCATTACTCATGGGCTAGTGGTGCCCCCCACCTGTGGAATTAGGATGAGGTCCAATGTTGTTGCTGGAGGCTCCAGGACTAAGCTGCGCCTTTCAGCTCAGACTCAGGCCACCACATTTCCTGCCACTGGTGGAACAGGTTGGTGATTCAGTTTTTCCTGACCATTATTAAAACCTCTATTTTTTTCCTCTCTCTTTAGTTATGAATATAATCTTCCTCCTCTTCCTGCCCTGGACAGGATAAACAGTAGCGGGATTTCAACTCATCTGCCACCGCAGTACCTTCTTGCCAGACTACTCTGCTCCCATTCACACACAGCAGAGCTGTCCTGTTAATACCTGGCTTAAATCTAAGTGGTGTCCCCAATGTGCACTTACAGGCTCCACAAAGGATGAACTATGCCCTGCCTGTTGCCAGTCAGCAGACCTTTACACTGCTAAGGCATAGGGCTTAGTCAGACCGGAATGTCAGGTGCCCACTATGCCCTGAGAAGCTGTAACTTCAACACAGAACTTCTGAGCTTTTGGGGAGAGAGTCTAAGGACAAGGAATCCAACTCCAGCCAACTCAGGGGCTAAGTTCCACAACAAAGCTGGAGAAAAAACCCTGCAAGGATCCAGAGTCCCCAACCCCAGATACAGCAGTGGGTCTGCAGTTCCCTGGGAACCCACTGCTGTATCTGGGGCTGGGGACTCTGCCAGTGTCCTTCACAAGGCAGCGATTAGTATTGCTAATGAACAAATTGGGTGACAATCGCTTCTCCTCCCCCTGGGGGAGTGTTTGCTGGGGCATTTCTCCTACATAGTTTCTCTCACAGTACTCTGTATCATGCTCACCATCCTTCCCCAACCCTGCAGCATGTCTGGGCCCGGCAAACAGCAAAGCTTGTTCCTCCTGTGCAGTCCAGCCAGTAAGTCAAAAATTCCAATTAACTAAGAAGGAGGGAGTTTGGGTGGAGGAGAGGGCTCAGAGCTGGTGTGCTGGAGGGTAGCACCCGGGAGTTACATTTCCAACAGCGGTCAGCATTTATGAGGCCCTTTACCATTAGCCAATGTGGGGACCAGTATATTTGAAAAAGTGGCTTTTGGTGAAGAAGCAGTAGTCTCAGATCTGTAGTTGCTTTTTTAACAGTAGATACAGTTATATTCCATTGGGTTGGAGATAGTTGGGTATCCAATGCAACTCTCAGATTATCAATCTTTTGGCAGAGTTTTTTTGCACCAAAAACCATAGTAAGGATATTACTGTCCGAATAAATCTAGAACAGTGGTTCCCAAACTGGGGTTCATGAACCCCTGGGAGTTCACAAAATGTTACAGGGGGTTCTCGGGAAAAAATTCCCTAATGGCAGATAAAGATGTTCCTAGGGCAGCCCTGAGTCCCAGGGGTTTTCAAGAGCGATGCAGATCAAAGCAAACTCATCCATCACACTGAGGAGATTTAAACATTAAGACTCCTTATAAGAAATGGAAAAGAAGGTGGATATTTTTTTCTGTTTTTAGAATTAAATAGGCTGCTAGTGTTGGTTTTAAAATTATGAAGAACAAGTTTAAGCTTTGCTGTAATGTGCAGTGTTTGCCTGGACTGCTCAAGACCTGAATGCTTGGGCAGGAGGAGCTCTATTTGAGTTGGTTACATCCTTTATGCTGTTTTATATCTGATACTCCTTGAGGAAACGTAGGAGCCTTGTCTTATAACAGGCTTAATCAAAGTGATACAAGCTACAAAAGTGAGATCTTGGAAGAGTGTTGCCATTTTCATAATGTAATAAAATTAATACTGTAATTATGAATAATAAAAAAGTGTGTAATAAGTATGTCATAAAAATAAATTTTATATTTCCAAGATCATTGCTTTTATAATTTATGCTCACGTAAGGGAGACCATCCCGGGAAATATTCATTTTTAGGAGGACATTTTAGTGACAAGGGTTCGCGGGATGTTAAAGTTTGGGAACCACTGATCTAGAAGTTTCCTCCAAAGTATAAATTCTGGAGGTTCTGGAGTTCCCAATGCATCTGGTCCAAATACATTCATAAGTAAATGCTTTAACTCAGTGATATTCAGACCTCAGTGGTTCAGGAGCCAGGTTAGCAAGAAACCACAAAAGATCCACAGTAGTGTGAATTCATGGTTTCATTTAATATACACATATATATTCTCACAGCAAAATAACTGACCAAGTATTCTATAATTGGTTTAACAACATAGTAAAAGCATTCTGATTGGTTAATAATTTAGACTGATTAATCATTAAATCACATAGTATTTTAAGATCACGTGCTGCAAAGAGCCACAGGAGAAACACTGAAGAGCCACTTGCAGTTCATTAGCTTCAGTCTGAGTATCACTGCTTTAACTAGAGATATTTTCATGCTCTAGAGTAGGTGAAGCCAAATTGTTGTGAAAGATATTTTTAATTTATCATTGTCAATTAGCTGTGACAGTCATAATTCCTCTGTCCACCCACTCTCTCAACATCAAAGTTTCGCCATTGATTTCAAGGAAAGGATTGCTCCATAGGCGACATGTCCCTGCTGCTCCTAAGTGGAGGCACAGTCAGGCAGCTCTGTGCACTGCCTCTGCCCGCAGGTGCCGCCCCCGCAGCTCCCACTGTCCGTGATCCCCAGCCAATGGGAGCTGTGGAGCCAGCGCTCGGGACAGGGCAGGGACAGAGCATGAAGTCCCTGTGGCTGTTCCTCCACTTAGGAGCATTGACCATGGTGCCAATTGGAGCTGCAGGGGCAGCTCCTGCGGGCGGAGGCAGCATGCAGAGCCACCTGGCAGCGCCTCCACCTTCAGCTGATAGGGAAGGCAATTGATCACAATATTCTTTATAACAGCCCTTAACATATTTTGAAAATTGTTACCAGCTCCCGCTCAGTCGTCTTTTCTCAAAACTGAACATAACCAGTTTTTTAGCATTTTCCTCATAGGAAAGCTTTTCTAAACCTTTGATAGTCCAGAGATAAGCAGCAAAAATTATCTTCAGTTTGCCCTCACCTTTCTTAAAATGTGGTGGCTGAAACTGGACACACTACTCCAGCTGAAGCCTTACCAGTGGCCAAGTAAAACAAAAACGATAACCTCTACTTTCTTACATACAATGCTCCTGTTAATAAACCTCAGAATATTAGCCTTTTTGACCTCATCATATTGTTGGCTCCTGTTCAATCTGACACACCAGAACCCCAGACCCTTTTCAGCAGTATTACTGCCTAGCCTGCTATACTCCATTTTGAAGACATGCATTCAATTTTTCTTTCCTAAGGGTAGCACTTTGCACTTGTCTTCATTGAATTTCATCTGTTGATTTCAGACCAATTGGAGAATTTGTCAAAGTCGTTTTGAACTCTCATCCTGTCCTCCAAAGCACCTGCAAATTTTATGGGCATACTCTCTATTCCATTATCCAAGTCATTAATGAAAATACTGAATAGTACTGGATCCAGGACTGACCCCTGTTGGAGCCCACTAAATACATTCTCCCAGTTTGACAGCAAATCATTGATAATTATTGAGAGTATGATCTGTCAACCAGATGTGCATTGCCCTTATAAAGAAAAGGATTACTTGTGGCACCTTAGAGACTAACCAATTTATTTGAGCATGAGCTTTCGTGAGCTACAGCTCACTTCATCGGATGCATACCGTGGAAACTGCAGCAGACTTTATATATACACAGAGAATATGAAACAATACCTCCTCCCACCCCACTGTCCTGCTGGTAATAGCTTATCTAAAGTGATCATCAGATGGGCCATTTCCAGCACAAATCCAGGTTTTCTCACCCTCCACCCCCCCACACAAATTCACTCTCCTGCTGGTGCTAGCCCATCCAAAGTGACAACTCTTTACATAATCAAATCGGGCTATTTCCTGCACAAATCCAGGTTTTCTCACATCCCCCCCACCCCCATACACACCCCCATGCCCTTATAGCAACTTAATCTAGGTTCACATTTCCCTAGTTTGCTTATGAGAATGACATGTAGGACTGTATCAAAAGGCCTTACTCTAATCAAGATACATCATGTCTACAGCTCCCCCTGCATCAACTAGGCCAGTAACCTGTCAAAGAAGGAAATTAAGTTGGTTTGGCATGATTTATTCTTGACATACTGGCTATTTCCTATCACCCTATTATTCTCTAGGTGCTTTCAAACCGATTGTTTAATAGTTTGTTCCAGTATCTTTCCAGATATCAAAGTCAGACTGACTTGAATAATTCCCCAGATCCTCTGTTCCCCTCTTTAAAGATTAGTACGATGTTTGCCAACAAATGAAAATCAAATATGTTTTTAAAAGCTGTATATTTCTACGGTTTCTACCTTGACTGGACTGGCTATTTCTTCTACTTGGTGAAGTTTTTCTTTAATTTCTTCAAGTTTATGTTCAGCCACTCGTAGAATATTTTTCAATTCCTCCATTTTTCCCCTTTGCTGTTCCATATCCCACTTAACGGATTCCATCTTATGCTTGTTTTCATGAGCTTCATCTTCCTGTTAGCATATAAAGATAGGTTTGAAAATTAAGAGAAAAAACACCACCCTTGGTTGTTGGACAAGATATTCATTTCAGAGTCACTTTTATGGCTGTGAGATTACATGCAACAGAGTATTCAGTTCTCTAATAAGAATGCCTATGAATCAATGGGCTAACTAACAAGCCCAGGAGGGGGGGATACTGCAGGGGGCTGTTACAGACCACCAAATCAACCCAGAGAACTGGATGAGTTACTCCTCAGGCACTTGTCTGTAAGGTGTGGAAAGAAAAATTGTGCTACAAGGGACTTTGATTTAGGAGACATATGCGGAGGTCTCATACAGCGAGTGGCAAAATATTAGAGTTTCAAAAGTCCTAGATTATATAGTTTTAAGACAGAAAGTATTACACCCAACATAAAATAACTATTTTGAACATCATTTTCTGCATAGAGATGCATTAATCACTCAACACTGATTATCGCCTAGGAACTAGTGATCATTAAGGCTACGATTTAGTCACAGAGATCGCGGAAGTCACAGAATCTATGACTTCCAGTGATCTCCGTGACTTCAGCGGTGGGTCCTCTGCCGCCCCCAGGGCTGGGAGCTGCGGGGTGTTCCCGGCCACTGCAAGCAGCGGAGGAAAACCCGAGCTCCCAGCCAGTGGTGAGGGAACCCCTAAGCTCCTGGCTGCCACAGATCCCCAGAGCGGTGGGTAGTAGGGGTACCCCACAGTTCCTGGCTGACACAGGAGCCGGGGCACCCCACAGCTCCCAGCCCCCACTGGCAGCGGGGAACCCCAGAGCTTCAAGCAGCAGGGGTACCCCACAGCTGCTGCAAGTGGCTCCTAGCCCCCACCAAGCTGCCCCCGTTGAGGTAGTGTGGGGATCCACAGATCCCCATTCTGTCCTAGACATATTTAGTAAAAGTCACTGACAGGTCACAGCTTCCATAAATTTTTCTTTTTCACCCATGACCTGTCCCGGACTTTTACTAAAAAAAAATCTTAGCCTTAGTGATCATGAACTGATTACATTCAATATGAGCAAACAGAGGACAGTTCCCAACCAGTCATATCAACACACACAAACACACAGCTTCCAAAAGGGCTAGTTTCTCAAAGCTGAGACACTGATTAGGAGAAAAAAAATGTGAATGTGAACTGACAGTTCTTTAAGAAGAGTTTATTAGATGGCCAAAAAGCCATGATGGCAATCAACACAAATTAGAAAATTGATAAGGAAGTTAAAATTATCAGGGAAAATATCATGACTGGCAGCTGTTGAAACAATAAGGAGTTTAGGTGTATTAATAGCAAAAGAAATTACAGCAATACTATAGGCACAATACTAGATGGAGATGGCAAAATTGTTAATAACAATGCGGAAAAGGCAGAAGTATTCATTAAATATTTCAGTGCTGTACTGGAAAGAAGCAGAATGATGTACTTGTATCACATGAGGATGATTAAGCTTCTTTCCAGTACATTAGCTAACAAGAATATCTACTAGGGATAAAAATAACTTAAAACAGGCTCAAAGAACTTGCACCCAACAGTGCTAAAAACAGTTGGCTGAGGAGATTTCTGGCCCGTTGATGTTCACTTTTAATAATAAATTTTAATAAATATTCTAATAGAATACCAAGGAAATTCAAGAAGACTGGAAGAATGCCAATGTTTTGCCAATACTGAAAAACGGCAAGTAGGATGACTCAGTTAACTACAGGCAGGTTAGACTGACCTCAGTCCCAGGCAAAACAATGGAAAAGCTTATACGGATTCAATTTAATAAAGAATTAAAGGATAAGAATATCATTAATGCCAGTCAACATGGTTTTACTGAAAATAGGTCTGGTCAAACAAACCTTAATGAGATCAAAAGTTTAGTTGATAAAGATAACTGGGTAGATGTCATATACTTAGACTTATGCAAGGCATTTGACTTAATACCACACAAAAATTATAAACTACATGATAAATGGATTAAGGACTGGCTGGCAGATCTCAAAACTAATGTCAATAGGGAGTCATCATTAAACAGGGGTGTTTCTAGTGGGGCTCTGCAGAGATTGGTACTAGGCCCGATGCCATCACAGTACAATTTAAGAGGATGCTGCCATTATGGAGATGGACTTAAGGTGGAGTCAAACATCTTGGCCTGGACAGACAGCACTGGAAAAGATGGGTTGCTTCATTTGCCCTATGCACAGGAGATTCTAAGTCTGTCTTGAACACGGTCATCAATGATCTCAAAGTATCAATTTTAAGAAAGATATTGAAAAATTGGAGAGCACACAAAAAAGAGCCACAAAGATGATTGGAGAACAAGAGAAAATGCCTTATAGTGTGAGGCTTAAAGAACTCAATCTTTTTAGCTTATCAGAAATATGATTGAGAGGTGACTTGATTACAGTGCAAAGAAAATATTGGGTACTAAAGGGCTTTTAAATCTAGCACAGAAAGGAGTGACAAGAACCAATGGCTGAAAGCTGAACCTGACAAATTCAATCTGGAAGTAAGGCACAATATTTTGTATTTATTACTTTTTAAGTGAGGGTGATTAACTACTGGAACAATAGTCTTGTTGTCGTCTTCAGATCAAGATTGGCTGCCTTCAGATCAAGGCATGCTTTAGCCAAAAAAGTTCTCATTACTATCATTTAAAAAAATAGAATAAATACATGAAGGTGAGAAAGAATACAGCAATCATTCTTACTAATGTAGAGATGTCTACTGATTGTTGTTCTTCTACGTTCTCAAGATCTGCTATTTCTATGTTTATTCTTCTTATTTTCATCTGAAAAAAGAAACAATTTTTTTCTTAGAAAGTTAAACAGGTAACACAAAATCATACCAGAACAAGGACATTTTGATCCAGAAGTGCAGGCACTCCAAAGACAAGTGATTTTTAAAAGTTACATTTTCATTAATTACATTTTTCTCAAAATAATGGAAAGTAAAACTTTCCTATATTACATAAAAAAACAACATCAAAAATATTTTTCTGCAGTAGTTAAATTTTGGTCCATGTGCTGATACTGTACAACTGTTTATATGCACTTCAGTGCACATACTTCCATAATAGGACACTAGGCGATTGTTTACCTGATAATTTGAGCATCATTGGCCAATATAAGTGAACTGTAGAACCTAGCCTACTACTGTAAAGAGGTATTCTGAGAACAAGAAAAATGACTGATTGGAAAGAGATTTATAAGGAAAGGTAAAAGTAACTAAATATGCAAAACTCGATTAAGCAATAACTAAGGGAATGTGGAGGGAAGGAAAGATATCTGTGAACAAGGACCATTTGTGATGCCAATTGGCAGAGGGCACAGGAGGTCATAAGGGCTACAGAGATCCCCTGATGAGGTGTTTACACTCTAGTTTACCAAAGTGTCTCTCAAGGTTTCTGCTGAAAGCCTTTATCACACTGGTCATCATAATCTCTGCGAAACGTACATGCAAATAATATCTATAAATATACAGATATAGATAAAGAAATTATGTTCTTCAGGCCTTGTAGCAGTCACATGCCCTGAGACTGATTCCCAGACAGGAGGAGGAATACCATTATCTCCCTAGCTTTCTGTTGTGTCTTTTACAAAAGAAGTCTACTAGCATAAAAAATTAAATGCCAATGCTGAGACAGTATGGACTTCAGGAGGAAACTTAACAGGAACAGTGGGAGGTGGGGTGTCTGTTTTAAAGGTAAAGAACAAAGGACTGGTCTTACAATATCTAGCGGTGCACAAAGATGCCCTGGCATCCTTCATCTGGGGGGAAGACAGGCTACCAGCAGGCTTGGTCTCATGTAAGGTAGATCTCAGTCATCCTGGTTGAAGAATGCTGTGAGACAGTCTTTGGGGCAAGCAGTACTTTATAAGACAAGAGGGCATTTTATTAGCTGAGTTTAGACACTAGTACGTGTGGTACAATTTTATTTTATTTGTAACCCTTTGTTTCCAATACAATATATTTACATTTATCCAAAACCCTATTATCTGAACCTCCACATTATGTGAATTCCTTCCTTGTCCCCCAGCACGAAATACAGCCTGTATCATTTATCCTGCTGGGGGACAAGGAAGGAATTCAGATAATGTGGAGGTTCAGATAATAAAGCAGAGCACCCTGGCCAGAAATGAGAGAAGGACAACAAGTCCCCAGCAGCAGGGAAGGCCACCCTGCTGCTGAATGGGTCCAGCAAGGCTACTGTCATGGGAGTAAGCAAGCAACAGAACCATAATAATAGAGCTTCAAAGGGCTCCCTGTACTGCCACAGGACTGGTGACTCCCCTCTGGAGGTTGCAAGGTACAAGATGGCTGTGGTCCTGGTGGGGCAGAGTAGAGTTCTGGCTGGGGGTCTCTGTTCTGCTTCACCAGGACTGCAGCCTCCCTCAGGTGTCACCAGCCCTGCAGAGAGACCTTTGCAGCCCCACAGTCAGGGGATTGAGTAAGTGGGGGCAGAGCAGAGCCACCCCCCAGACAAGACTGCAAGGAAGATGGCTGTGGCGAAGGCCACCCTACTGCTGAATGGATGAATGGCTCCTGCCCTCCTGATTATCCAAACTCCTGATTATCAGAATCTATGCTATTAGAATAATCGGGGGTATACTGTATTTCTGTTTGTTATCATTTGAATCTATAGTCTTCATTAACTAAATTTACACTTGATTTTCTCTATGAATGAATCTAAGTATTGTCTGTTACACAGCTCTGTGTTAAGCTGTGGTGTACTGTTCCTTTGGGAACAGTGGGTCTGGTAATTCTGTGAATGTCCAATGGATAAGGGGCTTAACGTTGCAGGGGACTGCTCGGAGGATTTGGGGTTTGGAGTATGCCTACAGCTAGTTTCATAAGGGACAGCAGACCCTGCGAGCTTGTGTGGCCTGTGGCTTGGAGAGTCAAGGAGTTGACCTGAAGAAGATACAGACAAGGCTTCCTCACATTAAAAATAGGTGTTACCCTGGATACCCCTAGGAAGTGTCACAAAATTAATACACAAACAGCTGAAGGATGCAAATGCTAAACAGGAAGAGAACTTAATTATGTTTGAACAAAGCATATACAAGGATTAATAGGACAAAATTAAGAAAAAGAAATTAGACTGAAGATCAGGAATACACCTCCTAGAAAGCAGTACACCTCTATCACGATGTAACGCAACCTGATATAACACAAATTTGGATATAACACGGTTAAGCAGCGCTCCCGGATGCGGAGGAGGGCCGGCGGGGCTGCGCACTCTGGTGGATCAAAGCAAGTTCAATATAAGGCGGTTTCACCTATAACACAGTAAGATTTTTTGGCTCCTGAAGACAGCATTATATTGGGGTAGAGGTGTATTTATTGTATTGGTCTCCCAAGGAAAGCAAAAACCCTAATTTTTAATAATATTTTACATAGAAAGGGAAAAAAATCAATAAAAAATATGCTGTAGTGAGCATTCATAGAACAACAAGGGAAACATGCTAGCATAAATCTAGCTGCATAATGCAAGGACGCTTAATGACACTAGAGCCTGAGACTCTGCACATTTTTAAACAAAAGCAAAGCCACCAAAATACATGTGCGCGAAAATCACTTGTTTAAAAGTGTACTGTTTAAAAAAAAGACTAATACAATAGGCTAAAACAGATGCATTTTTGACTTTAGCAGTCTATTACATATTTGTACCTGTAATTCTTTTTGTTGTCTACGACGATGATTAAGATAATCTTCATTTTCTCTCGTCTCATTTTCAGTGGAACGTAAACGATGTTGAGATGTTGACAACTGTGCCATTTTGTTTTCAACTTCTTTCTGCAAGTGACTTAACATATACAATTTATCATAAGATTATATGCTCTCCAACTACAAATTCTACCAAATGGACTGAACCATGGCTATAAACAAGAATTCTGACACAGGCTCTAAAGACTGATAGGGAGATTGAGCGCTTTATCATTAGCTCACTAGTTCATAATTGGTTATCATCCGATAGCTATTTAGTAGTCTCTGTTCAGTCCCTACTGGGTACTGCATTCATGTCAAATAAACCACCACCTCATTAAAAGCCCTTATTGGCAGCCTTAGCAGAAAGGCCAAGTACCTGAACTAAACTGTGTTATTAGTTCTAAAAATGCTAGTATACTTTAAGACCAGATAGAACTTTGGTTGGAGCAAAGTAATTAAGTCAGTATGGAGAAACTTGGCCTACCACCTCCCACACTTGTTCTTTTTAAGAAGGATTTCAGTCCTCAGGACTGTTAATATGGCACTGTTAGTGAGCAGTAAATTAAAACGCAAAACAGACACGCTAGTTAACCTTCATATATAGTGGACAAAATACTCATATATAGCTTTCATAACTGGAAATGGCAGTGGCAGCATCTCAGCTAACCATAGCAAAAAACACTTTTTGCAGTAAAACATGCATAATTCAATATAGGCTTTAGTATTTAAAAAGGAACAACAGATTAAGCAGGATCCCAATATAAGGTTTAATAATATTTTATAGCATAAGAATTAATAAAAATATAATGTTTATAATACAAGAGACTAAAAAACAAACAGAAAACCCACTTCCCTCCCCTCACAGAATTTGCAACAGAAATATTGTAGCATTTTGGTAACAACTAAAAACTTGAAAAAAGTAAGTGGACTAGAAACTGGCTATGAACATAAGAGAAGCTGACTGGTTTATTTCAATAATCTAAATGGAGAAAAATATAAATACTAAACCATACCCTAAATAGCAAAAAGTTGTTATTAGAACTCACAGAATTAAAAAAAAAACACCTTAGGTATTAATAGTTAAGGAAAATTTCTTTTCAATACATTTTTAATTCAACGGTGCCGTATTTTCTCACTTCAACTGCATTATAGCTCAGTCCCCAAAATAAAGTATTTTAATGGTACTAATTGGAGTTGGTCAAAGAAGTTACCACCACCACCTCTGAAATCTCTCAAGAGTAAATGCTGGTTTTCTTTTAAAGTTGCTGTTTAGAAAAAGTAACCAGAATAATCAAGATGACTACATATAGCTGCACGTAGCTATGCCAAATGTTTGGGACTGCGGCCTGGTCTACACTACAGAGTTAGGTCAACACAAGGCACCTTACACTGATCTAACAAGGTAAGTGTCTACACTAAAATTTTGCTCCCATCGAAGTAACTGCCCTGCTATGCCAACTTAACTCCACCTCCATGAGAGGCACAGAGTCAACGTCGGCGTAATTAAGTTTACACAGTGCTGCACTGCTTACACAGATGTATTGGCTTTCAAAAGTCATCCCACAATGCCTGAAACTGACAGTATAATTGATACAAGTGCTCCTAGTGAAGATGCACACCACTGACACACGGAACAAAGTGTAAACATGCACAAGCAATGTAATTACTGCAGTGGCTGTATGAGGACGTAAATTAGATTGACTTAATTTTGTAGCACAGACATGCCCTAACAAAATAGCTACAAATCTTTTAACAAAGGGCATTTGGCGTGAGGCTAATTTAGAATAGAAAAACTAAGTTATCTTACTCTCAATCAAAGCACTATTCCATTTTCAGAGTACTTTTAGAGACCTTTCATTTCAGGCTTGCTCTTTGACCAAGGCTACAAAAATGAAAGGAAGGTAACTGGATTTTTCAGAGTACGTTGCCTCTGCAAATCCCATGTCTCTGGGCCACATCCACATGCCACAAGCTCAAAACAATTAAGAAGGAACTCAAGAATGTGCATCTATTACAAAAGGTACTTCTGGAAAATATATACTTGATTTTAATAAGTCTGGATGAGGAAAAAAACTTCACAAGAAAGAAGTGTGACGCAGGTACTGTCATGGAGTCATGTCTACAGGAAAAGACAGGTTAATTGAAGAGAGGGGTACCTTTTTCTACAATGCAGAGGGGAGGGTTTTTTTTAGATTTTGTGCTATAAAACACTCCTGAGCCCCTCAAAAAGGAGTAGAAGGACAAAGAGCAAAAGATGTTACTTCTAACACCTTGAGAGAGAATACTTTATACTTCAGCAATACATGATACTAACCTTATTTCTGCTTCCACGTCTTTACTTAGGAATTTTGGCCTGGTATTATCAGATGAATAATAACGTCTCTCAAACACTTGATCACCCTCCGCAGTAAAAGCTTCTCTACAGTTTTTTGGAGGCCTCTTTCTCTGCATTACCGCACGAGCCTCTGGGTTACTCTGAAAAACAATGTATTTTCTCATAAAAAGTACTCACAATGGCTAGCAATTTGAAATGCTATGTTTCTGATCCTTGGAGCACCCAACGTTCTCACTGACTTCTATCAACCTCAGGCATGGTATTTCTTGCTTTCAGAACAGTAATAAAACTGAGTTTACAATATAAGAATTCATTTGAAATTTAAGAGAAGTTTAAGCCCCTTACAGTTGGAATAAAAAAAAACAACCCACTTAAGAGTTACCTGGACCAATGAGTGTACTAAAGGGTCTTAAGATGACAAAAATATTGATATTCAAGATGGAATACATCCTTAGATCATCTACTGAATTCATCTGGCAGTTTTCTTTGTACAGCTGCATTTTAAATCTCTCAATTAAATGACCTTTCCCTGCTTCCTTTGGAAAAATACTCCACAACTAAATGATTGTCTACATACAGAAAGTTGCACTGGTTTAATCAAAACACCTTAAAAATCACATCTTCAGTAAAACTGATACAGCTTTGTTTAGGCCAAGCCCAGTATGCTTGGCATCCAGTTTCTCTTAGGGCTATGTTGGGGACTTATATCAACACAACTACGTCTCTCAGGGATGTAAATAATCCACATCCCTGAGAGATGTTGTTATGCCGACCTAACCCACACTGTAGACAGTACTAGGTCAATGGGAGAATTCGCCTCTTGGGGAGATGGATAACCTACACCAATGGGAGAACCCCTCAGTGCAGGCAGTAACTTCACTGAAGCACTACACCATTTTAAATGTAGACAAACCCTTAGAGGACTGTGTCCTTTTACTTACCCAAGCAATACTTATCAGAAGAAAGAAATTAATCAAATACTTGTAATACTAGTTTCTTTCCTCATAAGCGATTATTTCCTGCCCTGTAAACCGTTTTCTTGCTCCTCTCCACATTCCCTGCAATTTTCTATATCTTTCAGATATTAAGATGCCCTGAACGGGGAGCAGTATGTTAAGTGCAGTCCGGACAGAGCTAATCATAGAATATCAGGGTTGGAAGGGACCCCAGAAGGTCATCTAGTCCAACCCCCTGCTCGAAGCAGGACCAATTCCCAGTTAAATCATCCCATTAGTTCCCCCGCCCCGCCATATTACATTGTAAACTTGTATCTATTTTGCTGAGAACCAGAACTTCGGGGGGAAGGGGGGGGGGAGCAGGGGAGGAGGAGAGAAGGTCTCAGATATTACTTGTGGCACCTTAGAGACTAACCAATTTATTTGAGCATGAGCTTTCGTGAGCTACAGCTGTAGCTCACGAAAGCTCATGCTCAAATAAATTGGTTAGTCTCTAAGGTGCCACAAGTACTCCTTTTCTTTTTGCGAATACAGACTAACACGGCTGTTCCTCTGAAACCTGTCAGATATTACTGCTTTTCAAAGCTTAGTCTACATTAGGAAACAGACAACAACTGCCAGCAATGGGTCTCTCTGAACCAGGGTGGATAAAAATCAATGATTTTTAAAAAAAATAAAAATAAATAAAAAATTGGATTTTATTTAAATTGGATTTTTTGGATAAAATGCTTTTTGAGGAAAAAAACAAACAATCTAAAGATAGTTTTAATTAAGATACATTATAGCTCAAAGATATCTCATCATGGAATAGGGATTATAAATTCTAATTCTATAGTATGAGACAATAAATTCATGTAATGTTTAAGAAAAGTTTTGTAAAAGAGTTCCAATAGTTCATGGATTAGGGACCTAATTTTATGGGGTTCCAAAGGCTTCTGTATAGATTATTTAGGTTAATTTTTCTAGCTACCCAATGGGACTCAGTGCTAAGTCTAGAAGATACCATCAGAGATGTTTAGTTTTGCAGTTCTCAAACTGTGGATTTGTGTCTCCAGAGAACATGCTTGTTAACAGCAAAAATGTTTTTAAATAAATAACTAACTAAATAAATAAAATATAGTGGTGAGAAATAACAGACCTCAACCCTATTTTCCCTCTGCAAATTTGTGTACACAGAGTCAATCCCTTACCTCTCTCTAAAAGTGCAAAGTTTCAAAGAATTCAATGAACAGAAGATTGTTGGGAGCGGAATAGATCTGGACAAGGAGAAGAAGTTCTGGAGATAAATGTGAGACGGGAGGGACAAGCAGTAGAAACAAAAGGAAACTGTCTGAGCAGCATATTTCAGAAATCTTGAGGTCTCTCTCAGTGTAGCCTTCATTGATTTGAGATCTACCAAACCATTCTCACTAGAAGGGAAAACCTATAATGGCAGCAGGTCGTAAAAGAGACCCAGTTTGGGTCTCATATCTCTGAGTTGTGAAGAATATGTATTAAGGTTATAACAACCAACAAGAATGAACTTTTATGTAGAAATCCATGATTAAATAGAGTCTTCCTGACTAGTGATTTAAATCATGATTTAAATCACTAATTTGATTTAAATCAAATCCACCCTGTTTTGAACCAGTGACAAGAACTATTTTAACTGCTAGCAAAATCAGAACAACATTATTTAACTCATTTAAAGAAAAGCTTTTTGAAACACAGCTTTCTGAGGGTGCTGAAAATAGCTTTGACCAACAGACAAAGGCAGTTAAACAGTTTTCAGCTCTGGTTCAGGCGGACTTGCTGTCATCAACTACTATCAGTAACAGGTTAAATTTCCAACTGTAGATGGTTCTCTGGTGTGTCCTTAATATTAGATATAGACTTTAAGGGCAGAAGGGACCATCCAAATTATATAGTCGGACTTCCTGCACCATTGCAGGCCAGAGAACCTCAACCCTCCACTCCTATAATAGTCCCATAGCCTCTTGCTGAGTTACTGAAGTTTTGATTTAAGAACTTCACATTACAGAGAACACATGATTTACTCTAGTTCAAACCAGCAAGTGACCCATATCCCAAGCAGCAAGAGAAGGCAAAAAACCTCTAGGGTCTCACCAATATGACCTGGGGAAAATTCCTTCTCGACCCCCAAAATGGTAATCAGTTAGATCTTGACCATGTGGGTGAGAACCACCTGGGAAAGAATTCTCTGTAGTAACTCATACCCCTCCCCACTAGTGTCCCATTGCCAGCCATTGGAGGTATTTGTTAAATGCGGTCACAAATGGGCCATACATCACTGTAGGCAACCTCATCATATAACCCCTCCATAAAACTTATCATGCTCACTCTTGAAGCCAATTAGGTTTTTTGCCTATACTATTGCCCTTAGAAGGCTGTTCTAGAACTGCAGTCCTCTAACAGTTAGAAACCTTTGTCTAATTTCAAGCCTAAATGTGTTGATGGCCAGTTCATATCCATTTGTTCTTGTGCCAACATTGGCCCTTAACTCCTATCTCTCCGGGATGTTTATCCCTCTGATATATTTAGAGAGGGCAATCATATCTCCCTAAAGCCTTCATTTTATTAGGCTAAACAGCCAAGCTCCTTAAGTCTCCTCTCATAAGACAGGTTCTCCATTCCTCTAATCATCCTACTAGCCCTTCTCTGCATTTGTTCCAGTTTGAATACATCTTTTTTGAACACAGTATTCCAGATGTGATCTCACCAGTGTCTTCTACAACGGAAAACATCACTTCCCTATTTTTACTGGAAATACCTCGCCAGATGCACCCTAGGATTGTGCTAGCCTTTTTCACAGCTGCATCACATTGGCCGCTCAGTCATCCTGCAATCGACCAATGCACGCAGATCTTTCTCGTCCTCTCGCTTAACAACTGCTAAGTCCCCATCTTATAGCAAAAATGCTTTTAAGTAAGCCATTAACCTTGCAAATTGCAGTTACATTTCATCCCATTTCTATTACTCCAATTTCAAAGTTCATCCAAATTTTCTTGTGAGATATTCCAGGCCTCTTCTGTATTGGCAATACCACACAAACTCTAGGTTATCCGCAAATTTTATTAGCATACTCCCATTTTTTGTGCCAATGTCATGAACGAAACTTTTAAATAAGACTGGTCCCAAGAACCATCCATGGGGAACTCCATTAGTAACCTTCCATCTGCTTGACAATACACCTTTCACTATGACCTGCTGTAGTCCCCCATTTAACCAGTTCCTTACCCACCTTTCAATTCTCATAGTAATCTACATCTTCTCCAATTTAACTAATAATTTACCATATGGAATTGTAATGAATGCTTTCCTAAAATCGAACTAGATTAGATCTAGTGCATTTCCTTTGTCTAGAAAATCATTTAGCTTCTCAAAGAAAGATTAAGTTGACCTAGCATGGTGGTTCCCAAACTAGGGGCGCCATTTGTTCAGGGAAAGCCCCGGGCAGGCCGGGCCGGGCCGGTTTGTTTACCTGCTGCGTCTGCAGGTTCAGCCTATCGCAGCTCCCACTGGTTGCGATTCGCCATTCTCGGCCAGTGGGGGCTGCGGGAAGCAGCGCGGGCCGAGGAACGTGCTGGCCGCCCTTCCCGCAGCCCCCATTGTTCTGGAGCGATGAACCGCGGCCAGTGGGAACCGCAAATTGGCCGAACCTGCAGACGCGGCAGGTAAACAAACTGGCCCGATCCACCAGGGGCTTTCCCTGAACAAGCGACACTCCTAGTTTGGGAACCACTGATCTAGCACGATCTACCTTTGGTAAAATACAACACTATTTTATCTTAATTACCTTTTACCCCTATGTCCTTAACTAATTACTCTTTCAAAATTTGTTCTAAGACCTTGCACAAAATTTAGGTCAAATTAAGGGGTCTGTAGTTTCCTGGATCACTCTTTTCCCCCTTTTCTTAAAGTAGGATATCCACATTTCTCCAGTCATAGGGTATGACCCCAAAGTTGACGGATTCATTAAAAATCTTTGCAATTGGGCTTGCAGTTTCATGTGCCAGTTCCATTAATATTCTTGGATGGGGGTTATCCAGGACCCCCTTTGATCCTATTAAGTGAGGTGCTGTTTTAAGCACAAGTCTTGGACCACTTGAGTCTTATTTTTAAAGGAGTGGCTAATGAAGAACCTCTCTAATGTGCCCCTCTCCTCAGCACAACTAACAGCAAATAGCCATCTCACATGAAGGACAGTTCTCAAACCCTGGCGAGGGCATAGCACTATATAACACTAACACAAATGAAAGCTAACTAACTAACTACTAATTATTTACAAATAACTGATGTCGAAAACCAATGAGGAAAAAACAACATGGGAAGCTCTGACTCTAGAATGAAGGATGTAAGCACGATTGGGGCTGCACTGCCCTTAAATAGCCATGGAAAGGTCTTAGGCCCAGAGTGCAGAAGCACCACCCCTATGGGTACTGCTAGGAAAAGTTCTCCAGCTTCAGTGCACTGGCTCTGTGCACATGTGTAGAATACACATCTGCAACCATTCAAAGAAGAATGCCTTATTTCTATAGGTATCTTGGGCAGCAAGAAGCAATCAGGTTGCCTTTTTTTAATTGCAAAAAGCCTCATTAGCATATAAATTCATTTTAAAACTTATAGCAAAAACAAATACGGCAGTTATGTCCTACCTTAATTAGCAGGATTGTTTCTATACCCCTCATGTCAATCAAACAATTAGCAACAACTGCATTATCTATTTCTAAAGCTGTAAGGACTGATGGGAATTCTGGATGGTGAACGGCCCTATGAGAAAAGAAGAAAAGAAACAACTAAAATGTACATATTTAAACAGTGCAAACCGCTTTAAAAATTCACCTGATCATACATTAGAAAATGCATTATATATTGGGGTTACTATTAAGCCATTTGGATCAAGGTTCTGAAGCAGCAATTTTATTCAAAACTTGGAACTCACCTAGGTCTGACATCATAAACTTCATTTCGAAACCTACTGACAATTATTTGGGGCCGATATCCAGATGGATAAAACTTTGACATCAGTGTCTGAAGTGTTCTCTCATCATGATGATTATCACAACAAAATGCCTGCAGTAGGCTTTTTAAACAAGTTTCAACAGCCAAAGTAAGTTCAGCATCTTTGAGACTAATGAAAGCACCTAAATATAGACAAAAGTCAAGACTTCAGAGGCACAGTATCAAATATATTTTATTATGTAAGTGCAATTAAAATGTAACTACATTATTCTTTGTTTTAGTTTAAAAAAACATTTGAGAACATATATTTAATTTTTTTAAGCTCAGGTTAGGTTTTCTAAGCAATAATGTAAATACAAATAAATAATTTGTTCTCTTACATGCAAATTTCTCTTCTCACAAACACTCTGAGAAGCAGACCCTCACAATGGGTGGGTCCTTTCCCCTGAAATCTCTGGAAGTAGTTCATGGCTAAATCCATGAATCTCCATGGTAGCATTCTCTACCATGAAGAGCTTGCAACTATGCTGCAGTCTATGTCAGATGTCAGTTAAGGATACACCCCCACAATTGGTCAATACTGTCTACAGTGTAGGAGTACTCTTGAATTTCTTGCTGACACAGAACTCTCACATAGCAGCATCTGTAAATAATACTTTCTACCATACCTTCTTGGTTAGGAAACTGTCCCATTCTGGAGGACAAACATTATTCATGCTTTCATCACCTTTCAGCTGGATTACAGCTATGCAATATACCTGGGCTTGGAGCCTTCACCACTTAAACTCCAACTAGTTAATAATGCAGCAACACAAGCTACCACAAACATATCAAACATGTCCTCTGCTCTCTGCACTGGCTTACCATAGAATTTCAAATCAAGTTCAAGGTCTCAGTCCTTCTCTTCAAAGCACTCCATGACCTGGAGCCAGGATACCTAAGAGATCATCTAAAAGCTCCAGGATGAAGACCATGGTTGACAAACTTTGCTTCTCTGGCACAATGTAACTCTTAACAATAAGAGAAAAGTTTGTCTGTGAAGGAGACAGAACTTTTTCCAGGTGCTGTCTGAGATGGTGGAATGAACTCCTCCAGGAACTAAGGACCATCACAAACCTCACCACTTTCTGCTCCAAGTGGAAACCACATTTCTTTGACCTTGTCTTTTCTAACAAGACATAGTAACAGCTATATTTATGTTAAAATAAAAAAACAAGACATTACAAAAACAAAACACTCCACTATACATGCTTCTCCCTCTGGATAGCGGATGTAAGCAAAGAAACACATGCTAAATGCAGTTATATGTTGCTAAATGCACTACCGCAAAGTGCTCAGATTATATCACGGTGATGAGCATGGTATAAAAACCTATACACAGAATAGAGGAGAACAAGATCATTTCCTAAACTACATTTTCCTAAACATAACTGCTATCTTCAGCAAGGCCTGGGGTGACCCAAAGACAGCAAGAATTCAACTCAACAATGAAACTACATGAAAATTACAATTAGATTTAGACTGAGCTTACACACAGACCTATTCAAACTATTTAAAACGATTTGCATTCAACTAACCAGCTTGGTAGAGGATGGTTCTGTGACTGCTCCAGTAGATTGAAAAAGAGAGAAACTGAGGGACAGTTAGTGGGTTGGGGTATTTATATATTTGGTCTAGGAAATGTAGACCTTAAGACAATTGGACATCATGCCCCTTAAGTGACAAATACTTTTCAAAAAGGCTCCGTGTTCACATGACCAAGTGTACAGTGGGACTCTATAGAGGCAAACTTTTTACTTCCCTTTATGCAAGGGCTATCTTACCTAGAGGTCCAATAGGTTTGTGTTTAAAATGTCCTTTTCTATAGGCATCTTCAATTGCTTCAAGAAGGACTGGCACATGTTGTCCAAATCTTTTCAATCTATTTGTTTTACTGTCTGTCAGCTCCTTCAGCTGTCTTTGCTTGGAATCCAATGCTTGTTTCACATCAAGTTCTTCTCGCCTGAGAAAAGGAAAGGCTACTGAAACATTTACTTTAATTAATATAACAACTTTTGACAAAATTTTATCAGCTGTCAAATTTAGCAGTCAGACTTTCTTGTTGCCGTAACAAAGCTTGTTACAATTGGAAAAAGAATTTAGGCTTCAAAATGAAGAGTATGCTGAACTATCCTCATTGCTCTAGAGTACATGGATTTGAAAAACATTTTCATTTGTACCAAGGTGACATGCACAGAGCAACAACACAACACAAGCAAGAGTATCAATAATAAAAAGAGAAAAAGATTTCCAAGATAACTTCAAAAGGTACATAGTAGTAATATCAGAAGTGTGACTACAGAAAGGAATTTCACTAACTCGATGTTAGGTGTACACAGGCTCAGAACCGAAATGTGAAGGTAGAGATGGTAACATAATATTAAGTGAGCTCAAGGAAGTGTAAGCTAGAATATGAACATGTGTTCCATTGTACATGTGAGCTTACCAGAAGAGGCTTGATAAATGCAATTTATAAATATGGTTCTACCATTCATCTTATGGATATCATCAACATTTCATAAATAGTCTGCACAAACAAATGATATACAAAACATACAGGAAATATCAGTAGAATTCAAGTGGTAATCATGTTATGAATGTAATTAGAAGTCCAGCATCTTCCAGAAACGTTCTTCTAGGTAACAACACACCAATAAGAAACAATTTTGATGTAGAAGTAAGATAGTGGGAATTAAGGAAGATTAACAGGACTAATATGAGAAGAGTAAGCATCAACATATGTCAAGTCCCTTATTATATTACAGTCACAACCACCATTATCTGCCTTTGATTTTTTTTAAAAAAAAGTCAGATTTTTTTAAATTAAAAAAAAAAAAAACCAGGTTTCACCCACCCTGTCTTAGATTAAATCAGATTTTAATTTTAGCACTGCATGTCACCTTAAATGCCAGCACATTTTTGTATTTTGTGCTGAGAACTTTCAAACTTAGACTCACTGTGGATGATGGACAAAGAAGTACCAGATCATAAGGTGCTTTGGGAGAATTAGGACTAAAAAATAAATTAAGTCTAGTGCTGCATGGAGTACTTTGAAATACAGGTAATGAAGCAGAACACCTATTGCCACTTGTTGTAAAGAAACTTGGATAATTAAAAACAAAGGTAAACTTACTTGAGTCTAGCATGTTCTTCCTTGGATTTGTAGACAGCCTGCTGAAATTGATCCATATCTTGAACCATCATGACCTCTTGATCATGGACGATCTTCAACTGCTCTTTCAACTGGGCTATTTTTTTCTGTGTTTCCAGCTTTTCAGACTCTGAAACTTGATCAGCACTGTAAAAGTACACAGACCACAATTCAACATTTTAAAATCACACACAATGGATAATCGTGAAAAGAACGTTTAAAACATACATTTTAGCACTTAACAGGTTTTATTAAGCAAGCATATCCAACATTATTCAACAGCAGAAAAACCTGTCTTGTTGTCTGGCCTGCATGTGACGCTTTCTAACTTATGCAAGGTCTATTTGGGATCATGACCACACACAGTCTGGCTGTTAACGATGAATTTCCCTTACCAAAAACAGAATTAAACATTTCCAGAATAAACTAAAAAATCTAGGCAATTAGATAACTGAATAAAATTAGATATGGAGGTGTGATAACTTAAGGCAGGATCTACGTCTAAGAAACACAGAAGGGTAATTATGGTTACCTACCACAGGTGCACAATGCAGAACAAAGCATTTATCTATTTTTAATATTGTAGAAACTGATCAGGTTTTTTCATGTTTGTTTTAAAACGCACATCATGCCAACGTCTATCATGCTTTCTTTGAGTAACAGGTTGTCAAGGTTCCTCCCCCACTCTGAACTCTAGGGTACAGATGTGGGGACCTGCATGAAAAACCTCCTAAGCTTATCTTTACCAGCTTAGGTCAAAACTTCCCCAAGGTACAAAATATTACACCCGTTATCCTTGGAATGGCCGCTACCACCACCAAACTAATACTGGTTACTGGGGAAGAGCTGTTTGGACGCGTCTTTCCCCCCAAAATACTTCCCAAAACCTTGCACCCCACTTCCTGGACAAGGTTTGGTAAAAAGCCTCACCAATTTGCCTAGGTGACTACAGACCCAGACCCTTGGATCTTAAGAACAATGAACAATCCTCCCAACACTTGCACCCCCCCTTTCCTGGGAAATGTTGGATAAAAAGCCTCACCAATTTGCATAGGTGACCACAGACCCAAACCCTTGGATCTGAGAACAATGAAAAAGCATTCAGTTTTTACAAGAAGACTTTTAATAAAAAACAGAAGTAAACAGAAATAAAGAAATCCCCCCTGTAAAATCAGGATGGTAGATATTTTACAGGGTAATTAGATTCAAAAACATAGAGAACCCCTCTAGGCAAAACCTTAAGTTACAAAAAAGATGCACAGACAGAAATAGTTATTCTATTCAGCACAATTCTTTTCTCAGCCATTTAAAGAAATCATAATCTAACACATACCTAGCTAGATTACTTACTAAAAGTTCTAAGACTCCATTCCTGTTCTGTCCCTGGCAAAGACCAGCATACAGACCGACACAGACCCCTTTGTTTCTCTCCCTCCTCCCAGCTTTTGAAAGTATCTTGTCTCCTCATTGGTCATTTTGGTCAGGTGCCAGCGAGGTTACCTTTAGCTTCTTAACCCTTTACAGGTGAGAGGAGCTTTCCCCTGGCCAGGAGGGATTTCAAAGGGGTTTACCCTTCCCTTTATTATTTATGACACGCCCCCAAATCTCAGCTAGGGTGGAACACTGGCTGGGATTTCTTCCTGGAGCTCTAGGAAAAACAGAGTTAATAAGACACATGCATCTCTAAATATACTACCAAGTACATAAAGACTAACAATATTTTCCACATCTCAAGGACGATTTTAACCAGTTGATTCTGGGAAACTTTCACGGGAGAGTGCATCAGCCACTTTGTTAGAAGCTCCTGAGATGTGTTGGATGTCGAAATCAAAATCTTGGAGAGCTAAACTCCACCGAAGAAGTTTTTTGTTAGTTTCCTTGACGGTGTGAAGCCACTTCAGTGCAGCATGGTCGGTTTGCAGGTGGAAACGCCGTCCCCAAACATATGGGCGTAGCTTTTCCAGAGCGTAGACAATGGCGTAACATTCTTTTTCAGTGACTGACCAGTTGCTTTCCCTCTCAGACAGTTTTTTGCTGAGAAACACTACAGGGTGGAATTCTTGATCAGGTCCTTTCTGCATTAAAACTGCTCCCACACCACGTTCGGACGCATCCGTGGTTACTAGGAACGGTTTGTCAAAGTCTGGGGCCCTTAGTACAGGGTCAGACATGAGTGTCGCTTTAAGCTTGTTAAAGGCCTTCTGACACTGTTCGGTCCACTGAACAGCATTTGGCTGTTTCTTTTTGGTTAGGTCTGTCAGTGGGGCAGCGATTTGGCTGTAGTGCGGTACAAATCGTCTGTAATAACCGGCCAAGCCTAAGAAGGATTGAACCTGTTTCTTTGACTTTGGGACAGGCCACTTTTGGATAGCATCCACTTTGGCCTGTAGGGGCTGATAGTTCCTTGACCCACCTGGTGTCCAAGGTAAGTCACTCTGTTTAGGCCTATTTGACACTTCTTAGCCTTAACAGTTAGTCCTGCCTCCCTTATGCGCTCAAGGACTTTTTGTAGATGTTCCAGGTGGTCTGCCCAGGAATCCGAAAATATGGCCACATCGTCAAGGTAGGCGACTGCATATTCTCCTAATCCCGCTAGGAGACCATCTACAAGTCTTTGGAAAGTGGCGGGTGCATTTCGCAGCCCAAAAGGGAGTACATTAAATTCATACAGCCCGAGATGTGTGATGAAGGCTGACCTTTCCTTGGCAGATTCATCTAGCGGTACCTGCCAGTACCCCTTGGTTAAGTCCAAGGTAGAGATGAACTGGGCCCGTCCCAGTTTCTCTAATAGTTCATCTGTGTGTGGCATTGGATAGTTGTCTGGGCGAGTTACAGCATTTAGCTTACGGTAGTCCACGCAAAAACGTATTTCCCCATCTGGTTTGGGAACTAGAACCACTGGAGATGCCCATGCACTTTCAGAGGGGCGGATTACACCCATCTGTAACATATCCTGGATCTCCCATTCTATAGCAGTTTTAGCTTGAGGAGACACCCGGTAAGGTTGGACCCTAATTGGGTGAGCATTACCTGTGTCAATGGAGTGGTATGCCCGTTCAGTCAGTCCTGGGGTGGCTGAGAACGTTGGCGCGTAGCTAGTGCACAGCTCCTGGATCTGCTGTCGCTGCATACGCCCAAGGGTCATGGAGAGGTTCACCTCTTCCACACCACCAGCACATTTCCCTTCGTAGTAAACACCTTCAGGCCACTCAGCGTCGTCTCCTCCCTGGGCTGTAAACTGACAAACCTTTAATTCTCTGGAATAAAAGGGCTTTAGAGAATTAATATGGTACACCTTAGGCTTTCGGTTGGAGGTGGGGAATGCTATGAGATAATTAACAGCTCCCAGGCGCTCCTGGACCGTGAATGGCCCTTCCCACGATGCTTCCATTTTATGGGCCTGGAGCGCCTTTAAGACCATGACCTGGTCTCCTACTTTGAAGGAACGCTCTCTGGCATGTTTATCATACCAGGCTTTTTGCTCTTTTTGAGCATCCTGTAAGTTTTCTCTAGCAAGGGCTAAAGAGGTTCGGAGGGTGTTTTGTAGGTTGGTTACGAAGTCCAGAATGTTAGTTCCTGGAGAAGGTGTAAATCCCTCCCATTGCTGCTTCACCAACTGCAATGGCCCCTTAACCTCACGGCCATATACAAGTTCAAATGGGGAAAACCCTAAACTGGGATGTGGTACAGCTCTGTAGGCAAAGAGCAACTGCTGCAACACTAGGTCCCAATCATTGGAGTGCTCATTTACAAATTTACGTATCATGGCCCCCAAAGTTCCATTAAACTTCTCCACCATGCCATTTGTTTGATGATGGTAAGGAGTGGCAACCAAGTGATTTACCCCATGAGCTTCCCAAAGGTTTTTCATAGTTCCTGCCAGGAAATTAGTCCCTGCATCGGTGAGGATGTCGGAGGGCCAACCTACCCTGGCAAAAATGTCTGCTAGTGCCTGGCACACACTTTTAGCCCTGGTGTTGCTTAGAGCTACTGCTTCCGGCCATCGGGTGGCAAAATCCATGAAAGTCAGTATGTACTGCTTTCCTCTGGGTGTCTTTTTCGGAAAAGGACCCAGAATATCCACAGCTACTCGCTGAAATGGAACTTCAATGATGGGGAGTGGCTGGAGAGGGGCTTTGACCTGGTCTTGGGGTTTTCCCACTCTTTGGCACACCTCACAAGACTGGACATAGGTAGAAACATCCTTGCCCATTCCCTCCCAGTGGAATGACCCCCCCCCAAACGGTCTTTGGTCCTGTTCACCCCAGCATGGCCACTAGGGTGATCATGGGCTAAGCTCAAGAGCTTGGCCCGGTATTTAGTTGGAACTACCAACTGTCTCTGAGGATGCCAGTCTTCCTGGTGTCCACCAGAAAGAGTTTCGTTGTATAAAAGTCCTCTTTCTATAACAAACCTAGATCGATTAGAAGAGCTGAGAGGTGGTGGGTTGCTCCGTGCCGCCGTCCAAGCTCTCTGGAGGCTTTCATCTGCTTCCTGTTCGGTCTGGAACTGTTCCCTTGATGCTGGAGACATCAGTCCCTCATTGGATTGTGGACCTAGGCTTGGTCCCTCTGGAAGCGATATAGGGGATGGAGCTGTTTCTGTTGACTGTGAACCGCTCTCCGCTGGTGCACTATGTTGGGATTCAGGCTCCGGCTGAGCCTCTTGTGTAGGGTTATCGGCTGCTGCCAGTTCAGGTTCAGTGGGGCCCTCTGGTGTTGAGGTTGCAAGTACTGGATTCAGTGCTGGCACGGGGTCTGGTGTTGGTTGTTTGGCTGGTTCCGGTTCTGGGACTGGTTCCGTCTGGGTCTCTGGGACTGGATCCACTACTGCTGTTGCAGACATTGGCCTGGGGTCTGGGTCCATCACCTCTGACTGGGTCCTGATAGAAGTTTCCGGAACAGAGCTAGGCCTCACGGCTTGTTTAGCCTGGCTGCGGGGGACCATTCCCACCCTCTTGGCCTGCTTCACATGATTGGCCAAGTCTTCCCCCAACAGCATGGGGATGGGATAATCATCATAGACTGCAAAAGTCCACATTCCTGACCAGCCCTTGTACTGGACAGGCAACTTGGCTGTAGGCAAATTGAAAGAGTTGGACTTGAAGGGTTGAATCGTCACTTGGATCTCTGGGTTGATTAAATTGG